TGAAAATTGTTGAACTTTTGGTATCTGAATTATAGTCAATGTCGTTAGTGGAAGTAGAAGAATGATCGTTGATGTCACTGGTGGAAGTTGGTGACTTTTCAGCATTTGTTTCGACATCCTTGATGAAAATTGTTGAACTTTTAGTATCCGAATGATAGTCAATGTCATTAGTGGAAGTAGAAGAATGATCGTTGATGTCATTGGTGGAAGTTGAACTTTCGGCATCTGAATAATAGTGGATGTCATTTGAGGACACTGATGACTTTTCAGCATTATTTTCGACATCCTTGATGAAATTTGTTGAACTTTTGGTATCCGAATAATAGTCAATGTCATTAGTTGAAGTAGAATAATGATCGTTGATGTCATTGGTGAAAATTGAACTTTCAGCATCCGAATGATCGTTAACGTCATTAGTAGAAGTTGAACTGTCGGCATCTAAAAGATCGTTGAGGGAAGTTGGTGACTTTTCAGAATTTGTTTCGACATCCTTGGTGATATTTGTTGAACTTTTGGTATCTGAATTATAATCAATGTCTTTAGTGGAAGTTAGCTTCTTTTCATCATTTGTAGTAGTTTCGACATTCTTGGTGAAAGTTTCGGTGTCTGAATTATAGTCGACATCATTGGTGAGCGTGAATGTTGATGAAATTTCGTTATCTGAATTATAGTCGTCTTTATTAGTAGAAATAGGTGATTCAAAACTTGAAGTCGATTCGTCATTATTGGTGGAATTTGCATCTCTTGAAATAGTATTGAAGAACATATAATCGTGATCCGATATTGAAGGTACTGGTGAGTTTGCACGTGATGTAACTCGTGATGATGATGCAGAATCTGAAATTATATAATTTATTATTAGAATTAGAATTTAATTTGACGGTCGGTTGAAATTCAAAAAATATATATATATTTACCTATAGAAAGATAATCGTTAAATGAGTTCGAAACAGAAGAATTCGTATGTATGATATTTATAATATTTTTTATCGAAAGATTTTGATGCTTTTGTTGACGGTCATTATAAATATACTCTAATTGACTCAGAGAATCGAACATCTCTTGCATAGTTGGACGATTTTGAGGCTCTTGATCCAAAGCTCTTTCCATGAGGGTAAGATAATTTGTTGGAGCATCATCAATATCTCTTTTTTCGATGGATTTATCCCCTGATAGACATTCTTGTGTGGCAATCTCCCAAAGAATAACTCCAAAGCTATAAACCTCACTTGCTGAAGTGTATTTTCCCTTTTGTTTAACTTCGGGAGCTGACCAATTTGAAAGTTCTAATGATCGTGCTGATTTTAAAAAGACGCAACTATCTTCATCCTTACCAAATTTATAAAGTTTTGGTTCAAGATTATGATCCAATAACACGCTATCACTTTTGACGTTGTAATGAAGTAAATTTAAATTGTGAATATGATTCAAGGCATTTGCAATTCCACGAGCGATGGAAATTTTAGTACTCCAACCTAGCTCATTTTCTTTTAAATAATCCGGAAGGTTAAATTCAATCCATTCGGTAACCAACATGGTTGCATACTTATTTTTGAAAGATGATTTAAAAAAGAAGAAAGAACTTAACAAGAAATTCACAATATAACACCAAGTGGAAGGATTTTCAATCATCGAAGATAAATTGCGTTCAGTATATCCTTTTACCGAGAGAATATTGTCGCAATCACATGATATTCTCATGATATATGACATTTCCTTTTGAAATTCAGTGAATTTGACCGAATCATTTGTAATGATTCCAATACATTTCTCGGAAACTTTATTATTAAAAAGTATTCCTTCATTATTTCCCCCATGATTGAGACCTGTTGAAATGATTAATTCTTGTTTAATGAAACCTGTCGGCAAAATTATATCTTGTGGAATGATAGGTTCATTTGAACTTTCGTCTTCACTACTGAAATTTCCCGGAATAATAACTTCTCGTTGAATGATAAGTTCATTTACTTCACTTTTCGAGATGTTCAATGCACTTTCCACGTCGTTCGTCGGAATGTTCAATGGATCTTCCACACTTGTCGGAACTTTCAATGGATCTTCCACACTTGTCGGAACTTTCAATGGATCTTCCACACTTGTCGGAACTTCCAATAGATCCTCCACACTTGTCGAAACTTCTAATATATCCTCCACAGTTGTCGAAACTTCTAAGATATCCTCCACAGTTGTCGAAACTTCTAATAGATCTTCCACATTTGTCGGAACGTTTAATGAATCTTCCACAATTGTCGGAACTTCCAATGGATCCTCCACACTTGTCGAAACTTCTAAGATATCCTCCACAGTTGTCGAAACTTCTAATAGATCTTCCACATTTGTCGAAACGTTTAATGAATCTTCCACAATTGTTGGAACTTTCAAAGAACCTTCCACACTTGCCTGGATGTTTGATGGATCTTCTACTTCACTTGTCGGAATATTTAATCCTTGTTGAAATATAGGTTTTTTCTCATGTGTAATAGGAACATTTTTGCCATCATTTTTAATTCTTTCTGATTCCTTTTTCATGACCATCAATTTTCCAATCATTTTAATTTTCGAAATGGTAGAAGGATTCCATTTACTTACTTTCTTTGGTTTCAGAAGTTCAGAAGCTCGCTGGAGAGCGTTAACAACAATTTCCAAGTTCAGAACGAATTTTTTGAATGATCCCATAACTACGGATTGATTTGTATTTCTTTGATCATATTTTTTGAAATAATATTCAATTTCAAAAATCAAGGTACTACAATCATTATATTCTTTAGTTTCAATTAATTGATCCCTTTTATTGTTCGATAAAATTACAATTTCTTCCAATATTTTAATTACTTGTTCAATGAATCTGGTAGACTTTGCGCATAATTCATGATGATGATTAAAATGTTGAAATTTTGTTAATACTCTTTTAGCACCATTTAATACATATCTTATTTCATTCTTTGAAGAAGTAGTTGACTTCAATGATTTTATTGGAGATTTTTGTGGCGATTTTAATGGGAATTTTTGGGAGGGAGTTTTTAGAGAAAAAAGCGAATAAAAGGGGTTATTATTTTTTGGTGCCTCGGTAGATACTAAAACCAATGGAATACTGACTTTGAACATTTTAGAAAATTCTTTTTTTTAAGAGAAAAATAAAAAAATAAAAAATGAAGATGTGAAATAAAGTTTGAAAAAGTTTTTTAATGAAGTTGAAAAGAATTTGTATGTTATGACTCGATCAACGAGTTTTATTAAAAAGATGAAAGAATTTTGTAAACTTGATCAACAAGCTGAGAAAAGTTAAGAGTTTTTTTGTTTTATTTTCTTAAAAAAAGTTCTTTTTTTCCTACGTTGGAAGAGAGAGAAACGGAAGTTATTTATATGAAATTAATTAACTGCGGGTTGCTAATGATCTGAAAAACCTTGTTAAACATCCAACCAATTATAAACCAATTTCAAACAAGGGGAGGACTACGTTTCATTCATTATGTCTGAATTAGGAAATAATTTATAAATCGGATTTTTGGTTCGCGAATAAACCTTACACCATTCCCGAAAAGTCAAGTGATCCGTAACAAACAATAATTATTTGAATTTTGGTTCATATTGTATGCATGTAAATTTAATTATTGTTTTCTTAAAAAATAATGTTAACCCTTGTTCATAAAACACCATATGGTATGATTCTTTATTAATAGATTAACTTTATTTCATGTTTTGAGAAAAAAGAAAGATTTAGCAAATAAAGAGGAATACGTTACGCCCAATGAGTAAATAAATGGGTTGTAAATGACTTTTTTGTTACTTTTTATGGGTAAGTTGATAATAGTTTCTTTGCCTTTTTAATGTGGTGTGACTAATTAATGAAGTTAAAGGTTCACAAACCTTGGGTGTTCGGACCTACTTCTCCAACAATATTATTTTTAGACCTTATTGAACGAGCCTTTTTTATTTAATAAATACAAAAAGAAAGTATCCAAAAATAAATCCGGGACTGCATCAAAGTTTCAGCTTTTTTTATTTATTCATTTATTCGAAATTTTTTTGTCTCAGAAACGAAAATTCACAAATTAATGATTTGCAATAACAATCGCTTTTATTTCTGACTTGAAAATAATACCAAATGTCATCATTATTATGACCTGGAAGCGGTCCTTGTTTTTTCATGCTTGTTTTATCAGCCAGTATCGAACAAATTTCGGTTTTAGACCGTTACCTTTTTTTTTTAAAATAAGTCACGTGGGAAACTTTATTTTTTTTTTTATGATTTCAGAGTTTGCATGTGGCGTTCAAAAGGGACCTCACCAATCAAATCAAAGACTTCAAATCGACCAAAAAAACCCCCCAAAAAAAAAATTTGAATCAAGAAAAAGAATGACATATGCTGACGATCATTTGCATCATTTGCATCATTGTAAAGGCCCATAGCAATTATGGTAAATTCTGAGGTCATTTTAATAAAACATTTCGGGGCCATTTCAAGAACGTATCAGGGTCGTCCATTTTGCCAACGTTTGGTCGACAGAACATGATCGAACCGGTATTATGACCAGATATGACCGGCATCGCGATGGGGCTATAAAATAACCGTACAAAGTCATGTCATTTCTTTCTGGCTTAAACATTTATTCTAACTTGAACTTTTAAAGGATTTTTAAACTTGGTTTTTTGAAGTTTTTTTTTTTACATACAATTATTATTCACACATGTAAATTGCGAACATTAAGGAATTCCTTGGTTAGGAATAGTTACTATCAAACATGTTAAATATGTAAATCATTTCATATGATTGATCGACGCCAAACTTACAAAGTTGTAAGAAATATTGCGTAATAATCACATTTGTTGAACTTATTTTAAAAAAAGTTCCGTCTGCGAAAAAAAAAACGACTTTTGGATATCCTAGCAATAATAACATCATATATAATAAGATTTATATTTGATCTAGCAAAAGATGAGTTAATTATTCGTCTCAAAGGAAACCTTGGGGTTTTGGGGTGTTTACATACAAACTCAGTTAATGAACTCTACGTTTTATTTTTAACAATCATGTCAATAAAACAATATAAAAATGTCAGAAATAATCTCTTTACGAAATAATAATGTCAGTTCCTGTAAAGAAAACCGATATGAATGAAACTTCAAATGATTTCATTGATGATGTGCAAAAACAAAAATATGTCAATAAACAATCCTCACAAAAAAAAGAAAATGAAGAAGCTTGGTGGATAAATGGTGCTTTCGTTATCGTTGTGCACACCATTTCACTCATTGCACTTTTAACATATATACCGCCTTTTAAAACATGGGCTATGATGATCTTCTTTTGTCAGTTAGGAATGCTCGGGTAATCTATCAATTTGTTTTAAAAAAAAAAAAAAAAAAATTATTGATTCCTTTTGTTTAAAAAATCAAATAAATAGTATTACGATCGGATATCATCGATTATGGAGCCATCGATCATTTGAAGCAAGGTTTCCTTTGAGAATAGTTTTGGGCTTTATGGGTACACTTGGATTCCAAGGATCCATCAAGTGGTGGGTTCTTCGTCACAGATTACATCACAGGTATGATTTTGATCCGTAGTAAGTTGTACAAAACATTTCAAACGTTAAATATTTTGTCCCACTAGATGGACGGATTCGGAACATGACCCTTATTCAGCTGCAAAAGGGTTTTGGTTTTCTCATATGGGTTGGATTTTCAAGAAACCTTATTATCCACGAATGAAACTGATCGACTCATCGGACCTCAATGAAGATCCCGTAGTTAAATTTCAACATAAAAATTATGTTTTTTTATCGCTGTCTAGTGGATTATTACTTCCCACCTTGATCGGTGCATTTATGGGAGATACCATCGGTGGATTGTTATATGGAGGTTTCTTAAGTCGTGTAATCATTTGGCATTCAACTTTTTGTATTAATAGCTTCGCGCATTGGGCCGGTGACCAACTTTATTCCAACGAAGTTTCAGCACGTGGAAATTTATTACTTGCTCTATTGACCAACGGTGAAGGTTATCACAATTATGTAAGTGTGATTCGCGTTATCTAGTTAGACCTTGCTTTTTTTTTTTCTTTTTATAAAGAAAAAATTATGTTCATTTTGTATACAGCATCATGAATTCCCCAAAGACTTTCGAAACGGATATCGATTATTTGACTGGGACCCTACCAAATGGATAATCTATGTCATACATATCTTTACAAATCAAATACCGAGCTTAATACGTGCTCCTGAGAATGAAGTGCGCAAAGCAATGCTTAATATGGAATTGGTTAAAGTACAACAGAATCGTGAGCAATGCAATTGGGGCATCGATCCTATCAATTTACCTGTCATGACTTACGAACAGTATAAAGAGAAACAATATCATGAAGGAAAGGAATGGGTATTGGTTGATGAATTTGTATTGGACGTTTCAAAATTTAAAGATGATCATCCCGGTGGTGCAAAGGTTTTAAAGAATTATTATGGAAAAGATTCTACTAAAGCGTTTTATGGTGGTTTAAATAATCATACAAAAGCTGCTAAAACTATGACAGCCATGTACAGAGTGGCAAGAATTGAAAAGAAAGAAAATGAGGAATAAAAATCTTTATTTCATTTATTATTTTTGAACATTATTAATTTTCTTAAAAATTAAAAGTACTACTCTGAATTCAATGAAAAAATCCTTGTTAAATAATTGAATAAAATAAACTTGACTGAAAATTTTAATTGTGTTATTCTGTTATTTAAAAAAACGAAAATTCCAAAAATTATATCGAAAAGAACCTTGCTTTGGAAAAGAGAAGCCTACCATAAAAGACTTTGTGTATAAAAAAAGTATTTCTGTTACACCGCCTCATTCGCAAACTTCACTTTGTGATTACGTATGGTGATTCCGGTATAAATGTTTTGAAGCAAGAGAAAGAAGTGGAAGTGATTACAAGTCATAATAATGGAAATAGTAAATAAGATAAATTGGCCTTCGCTTGAAAATCAAAGATTTTCATTTAAAGTACGCCTACCCAATAAAAAAATACTACGTAGAATATCGATCGATAGTAAAGTTATTTTTCGACTTGTTCCAATTAGAACTTGCCATTTCTCAGGACATTACAGTATATACTAAATTCTTTATTTATAAATTAATACCTATTACTTCCTGCTTTTTTTAATTACCAAATTGTTGAGTCTATTCTGTCTTTTTAAGGTATTTACATACCCTTTTTTACCCCCAAAACCATATATGTACTATTTCTTCAGTGTATTATTGGATATTTCTAATATTTCTAAAGGCCATTTATAACCTATTCGATTGCTAATAATAAGGCTAAATTTGTAATCTGCTTATTTGATTACTAAAGTTATGCCAAATTTACAATTCTACTATTATGTCTATTTCATTTATTTCATTTTGTCAAATTTAAGGATTATAATACTAACTTGTTAATATACTAAACTAAAATATTTTCTTTTCTATATATTTTCTATCTTATCATACTGCTTAAGCTTAGGATAGGATCTCCTATAATATTTATAATGCTTTTTTTCAAATTAATTAACCTTTTGAGCCGTTTTCTTGCTAACATTCCCAGCTTCTATGATTTCCTTGTAGAGATTGAGAAAATTAATTGAGGAAATTAATTGAGTCCATTCATTCAATTCAGAGGTGGGTTCGAATTGCAAAGTCTCTCCAGAAACCTTGATATAAAGTTCCTGAAAAAGCTTTTTCATTATAGTGGATTTATTTTTACCCGAAGGTTTCCGTTTTCGGTAGAGATCCGCTAGAACGTTTTCATTATTTAATAGTTTTACCAAATATCTCAAAATCATCGGATCCTAAAATGATCTCAATATGCTAATCTTTAGAATTTATTAATAAACACAAATATCGATCATGTAAGGTAACCTTATTCGGATCCTTAAATCGTGTGACATCCTAATTAGTCTTAATACTCGTGACCTAACACAATTTTTAAAAAGACGTTTTTTTTTTTTCTAGAAAGTAAAATGCGTTTTATTTCTCAATGTAAATTTTGTACTTCATTACAATGAAATGAAATATGTTATATGATGGAATGGATTTTTTTAAAACAGAAAAATAAAATAAAATAAAAAGAAAAGAAAAGAAAATGAAATGATGAAAAATAAATTGTTCCCCCCATAAAATACAATTTCCCACGAATAGAAAATAAATGACTGTACAAGTATGATGCAACAATAAGAAAAAATAATATGTAAAATAACATAATGAAAACCCACCGAATAAAGTTCAATCCTTATTATCAACCATAATTATACCCAAGTACTATCGAAATTATTTGAAAAAGTTTCGAATGCACCTAATTTTTTCATAAAATATAATTTCCATTCAGACCAAAGACCAACACTTGTACCAAATACAATAAATATGCTAACTCCTAATAATGCTGTTAAAGACTCGGCAGTGGCTAAATATGCAACACTCGGGACATGATCTACCGCATAAACTGAACATATGTTTTGTGCATCATTTTTGGTCCCATTCTCAATAATACAATTTAACCATTTTATGAACCATGATTTAATAAAAGTATCTGGCTGTAATTTTCTGTGTATTTCAAAAATATAATAAGACTATATAGATAATATAATTTACGCGTTAGAGAAGATGTCATGATCCTTTTAAAAATTATAATAAATATATAAAAATATTTTCGTTACTTACCCAATATATCATGTAAGTAATCAGAAATATTAAAGCTAGCATAAGAGCACGCCATTGAACTTTTACTGCTCTCACTATCTCACTACCTGTAATTTCTGTTATTGATCTTCCTTTTGAAGTCTCTGAATTTTCTTCCACTAATGTTGAATCTTCAAAATCCGAATTTAATAAACACTGAGACTGTAAAGAAAAGATGATAATGTTATTAACGGTTAAGGTATGGAACAAGTAAAGAACACATTTACTTACTTTTCCGATATGTACAAAAGTCCAAATATGTATTATGAATCCTGGAATAACGAAGACCGCCAATGGATACCAAAATAATTCATTCGATGACTCTGATGAAACCAAACAAACAGCTCCAAATTCAAATTTAATCTTGTTCATTATAGCCGGCAATATTGCAAATACAATTGATATAAATAAAATTATTGCTTGTGTTATTTTATAATATTTTTGGAGAAATGTCGAATTCCATACAGTTTGAAAGTGGAGGTGTAAAATTAAAAGGAAACACCATAATATGAGAAGGAATGTTGAGAAAATTAAAATAATTCCTAAAAATTAAAAAATAAATTAGTCAACTTTATTTAAAAAAAAAAAAAAATAATAAATTTATTTATTTAATTACCTTGAACACCGCATAATGTATTATTTTTCATAGTTGATTGAGTTATTGGGTCGACGCATTGTATTCTTTTAAAATCTCCAAAATAAAAGAAGGACACCCCAAGAAAGATCAAAAGACTTATATTGAAACAGAGAACGGTCAAAGCGGGGTTTTCCCGTTTATTAGGCAGTACAATGTAACTGACAACCAACATTAGTACACAGATAAATGAGATTAATCTTATTACGCTTAAAGTACGATATATCAAGTCAATTTGACCTTTTTTATAAAAATTATTCACTATAGGACATGATAAACAACAACCATCCCGACATAATGAATTATCATTCTGTGGCATGCCTTCTTCTGAATTCAATGAAATCATTGGGAATGGACAAGCTTTTAAGTTTGTGACATTTGAAGTTGGCAACTTTACAATCAACCTTTTATCATTGTTTTGAGCGGTTGCCGGGACACTAGCAACATTAATAAGTATAATTAAAAAGAATATAAAAGAAAGTGGTTTGTTCATGATTGTAAATAATTTATGAGATACAAATTTATGTTTTTGTTTAAAAGGTCATCATAAACGAAGGGAAAGGCGGGAAAATCGATATAGTCATTGTTAAGTTGGCGTTTTATATAAAATTCAATCCGATCATCAGATCACGCAAATTACCGCAGTAAGAAACATACCCCACACTAAAAAGTGCTTAAACTCCGATATCGCTAATCAAAAAAAGTATTAATTAATAATTGATCTTTGTAATTTCCGACTTGTAATACACATGAAAGAATTCGCTTTCTAAAACTTTTCTTTTGATTCCTTTTAATCATTATATAAATTAAGTACAACGAGTTGTATCATGCGTATCATATTTTAAGTTATTATATAATTGCATTTACTAATACATTGTTACACGAAACTTTTTTCATACGAAAATGCGTTGCAAACTTTTTTTTTTAAAAAAAAACCTTTTAGGTTATGTGGCAATAAATTATTTTCTCCAATCAAATATTTCCGCCCAGACCTTTTATATTTTTTTTTCCTAATTATTTATTAAAAAGCGATGATTTGAAAAATAATAGTTTGAAAATATACAAGCTTAAGGATAAAACTTTAAGCGAAATTTTTTTTAATTTTCGCACGCAAATCATCAATCCCATCTTTTATTACATATAAATTATTCTGATTAGAATTTATACAGTGAAATAACACCACCAATTAATGATGATTCCGAAAGCTGAAATTTAATAAATTTATTTATTTAACATTTTATAAAAGAAGAAAACTTTAATATTAGTTACAATAACTGTCTTGTGAATGTACATTGTACCATCAGATGTCATAGATATACGAGAAAAATTTTATTTAGTATAATTTAATATCCAATAAAATGAAAATGAAATTAATTTTAATCCACGTTTAAAAAAAATATAAATTATATATTTGAAAGTTAATTAACCAAAAGTAAATATTTTTAAAATACAAAAAAAAAAATTTAGTTATAAAGGTATAAAAATAAACTTTGTAAATCACCTTACGGAACGGAACATATGATTCCGTAAGGTTGATTTTAATAGCCGATCATTATTATACTTTATATAATTTATAGCAGCAATGCAACTTTATATTATCGAGCTCGATGTATATACTAAAAATAAACTACAAATTTAGTTTTTATACTGAATAAGCTACAATAATATATTTTAATAACCGTCATTTTTAGAAATTTTGCGATTGATTTGATTTGTTGATCTAATTCTTAAAATGGAACCTTTATTTTCATTAGAACTGTTATTTTTTAAAAAAAAAATTTTAATAATGGCAAATATAATAAATATATATGTAATATGTAATTTACCATTAACAAATGACTTACCTATCTTGCAATATTGTAGAATAATAGAATTAATAAAATATATTAAACATACCTGCTTATATTATCATAAAATCACATGACAATATTATATTATGCAATAAGTATTGGACAATAATTTTTCGTTACAAAGCACTATAACTTATAATTACAATATTAGTTTTTTATTTTTTAAAAACATTTTTGCTGATTAGAAATTGTTTATTATAAAGTATAATTAAGATTTGGGAGAAATCAAAATAGTCATGTTAGTTATTGCTGAAACTAAAATATATTTGTCAAAAAAAAAGGTTTTTTTTTTTTAATTTAAGACTAAAAAATAAATATTAAATATAATTAAAAATATAAATAATATTGATTAAAATTAAATTTATATATACTGTATAGTTAACCCTCTCTACAATCATTTTCCTATACAATTATATCATATGGGAGCATTTCCAGTAAAATCACATTACGGATCATATGATTTACTATGCCTCATAACTTGATTTTACTGGAAACGTTCCCATATATATCCTTCATGATAAATATATTTTCAGTTCCTATTAACATTATATAAAAAACCTCTTCTATAATCATAATATTTTATAGTCATACCCTTTGAAACCAAAACTTTAATAATACTATAAACAAATCCTTTTATTATAGTTACTGTTTATTATAGTTATTAAAGATGCCTTTCTAAACTATTTTTAGAAAATTTGAGTTTTAAGATAATTAAGATTAAACTATTTATTTTTAATAAATATTTTTTTATCCAAACTTCTAATAGGTTTTCCTAAACTCAATTAAGTTTAATCAAGTTTTAGATTTTAAAAAAAATCATTCTAAAAGTTTCAAAAAAGTTTTTAAATTTTTAAGCAACTTGTTAAAATAGATTTCAAATAGTATTATTAATAGTCACAATTTTTATATTTGATTTGAAAGGTATTAATTATATATGAAGTTAAAATAAAAATCCAAAAAACAAAATATTTCAACTTTAAAAGTTAAAGTTGAAATAAAAGTTGAAATATCATATGATTTTTTATAAATAAAAAAACTAAAAAAATATATAAACTCAGTTAATATCATTCTGATTCTCATAATACAAATCATAGATAGAACATTGATCAATCAGGTACCTTTCTGATTGATCTCAGTAAATACTACAATCAATTATGAATCAATTAATACCATAATCATAATTATTAAATAGAATTATATAAATCAGTTTCCAACTTGATTTTATATTTATTTTAAAAATTTATTATAAGGCCTTTACAATAAAAAAAGAAAACTACCAGAAAAATAAAAAATTAGTTGATGCTAAATTTGAACATATTTCAGCCTAAAAATCATATTTAGCATATAAAAGTAAATTTGATTTTTCTCAACAGTTTTTTCCCTTTCTATTACAAAGGCCTCATATGTTAAATAATAACAATCAGTTTCAATTAATAATTAATTATCAATCAGTTTAATATCTGATTGATAATTATTATTCAATTAGAATTTCTGATTAGTAACAATTTGCTAACAAGTATCATTAATAAGATTTGTTAACAATCTATAATGAAATTCATTAATAATTCACTATAATAATTCGTTATAAATATTATTGAACTATTTATTATGAAATTTGTTATAACAAATTGTAATGTTTAAATAAATAATAACTAAAGATGGTTCCCATAATTATTTTTAAAAATTTTAACTAGTTGCAACTTAAGTTGCAACACTTTGAGTTACAACTATTTATGAATTTTTATATTAAAATAAATTTACAAGGAGTTGTAACCAAGTTGCAACTTCTTAATTATGGTATCCATATTTAATCATAACAAATTTCATTATAATGATTTATTTATAAACGAATTGTAACGAAATTCTTTAATTCGTTATGAAATTTATTGAACTATTCATTAAATTTATTATAATAAATTATTACAAAATTTATTATAACAAATTATTATGAAATTCATTATAACAAATTGTAACAAATTTTGTTATAATAATTTATTATACAAATTTCATTTAAATAAATCATAACGAATCATAATAAAATTTGTTAAATGATTCGTTAAGAATTTCATTAATGAAATTCGTTAATTAATGATAAATTTCATATTTGAAGATGATTTTTGTCATTTTGAAAATGAATTTCGCATTCAAGAGCAAAATTTCATTAATTTAAAGATGAATTTCATTTTGAAAGGGAAACTTTATCAATTCAAGATGAATTTTATCATTTCGTGATAAAATATCATATTTGATAACAATTTCATTTTTTATTAACTTTCATTATTATTTATTTACTATTAATCTTATATATTATAATAAAATATAAAATATATATATTTAACCTATTTTAGAAAATCAAATTCATATTTTTTTTTTCTTTTTTTAGAAACACTTTTTTTCTCAGTTTTCACTAATATTTTTTCTTTTTTTATAGTAATTATTTTTTCTTTTGAATAAGGTATAATAAGTGGTTTTTTAGGATTCTTTCAAAGATATTTTTTATTTTTTAATTATTTTTTCATCAAACTTTCTTTCTTTTGGATAAAATAAGTAGATTTTCTATGGTAAGTTGTAGATTTTTACTATTTTTTTTCTTTTTTTAATAGTAGTGGACTTTTTTTGCTTATTAGCTAAAATATGCTACAAATCAGAATTCTTTTGTAATTGTTTTTTGGATTTTACTTTTTTTTTATTTATTTTAGTTTAGGTGATTGAACTAAGACGTCATGACTAGAATCTATTAAACTATATATCAGTCCCAATCCTTGGGTCTTCGCTGATTCATGTCTATTGATAACCCACACTGGTAGAACTGGCCCAGATGTTGGCAAGTCAGCAAAATTAAGCCCTTATAGAGAATTTGATACCCCCTCTGGTTATCACCCCATCCAGAAATTATATATTACTATAGGACTGAGCAATCTATTATATCATATACCTTGCTAGGATATGCTTTTACTCAACTAATGCCGCAGGATTCATGGGATTATTACCATAAGATTTGCCTAAACGGTAAACTAGCGGGATGATGATCAAGTCATATCAATAAATATCTTAAGAATTAAGCCTAGCTTCAGACCCAATGATATACTCGATTAGACAATGCTACAGTGTGCAATGCAGTTTATTATTATCATTTAATCTAATTTACTAATTTCTGGTCAATCACTTCCTTAATTTATATACAATCTTATAATCATATACAGAAATAAGGACCCCGCTATATGAGACGTAAGACTGTATCCATTACAGACCAATTAGCGAAGGCTAAGTTTCTGTCAATCTCTAGCTTCATTTGCATTTACTTGTTCTAACGCTATACAGTATTTAGGTATAATCAACGTTGATCAATAGATCAATCAACCAGATTTGTACGCATGTTAGTACATACATTCATCATATTCAGTATATATAAAATTCTTATGAAAATCATCTAGTTTTATGTATTGGCTGATACCTGAACTGATAGCATATTGCTATAATAAACTTTAGCTTAATAGAAGACTCGCAGTTAAACTATTGAGCCAGGAACACTGATCCATTTTTTGGATTTTTTACTTTTTTTTTTTTTTTTTTTTTTGATGCGTTAGCAGGTAATGGAATCATAGTATATTAATACAACCTAAGCTGTGTGCTATGAGGTGAC